ACCTTGGCAAACCCACCACATACAAAGCATAATTTTTTTGTTAATCAAACTGCACTTTGCGACATTGTCGACGGACTCACAGGGCATAGACCAAACCCCTTTCCATGTGTTCTTGAAGTTGTTTTCATCACAAGTGACAATCCTTTCCCAAATTTTGTCCTGAACAGATTAATGCAGGCCCTGAACATGTCTGACCTTATCTGCTTGAGTCAGCTCATGCAGAACCCAGCAATTGAACTTGTGCATCAAGTTTATGCGATGCATAGAGCAGTTAATTGACATCACACTAAATCCTTAGCAAGCTCTCGAGTGGTTGCATACTGATCTTCTTCCACAGGTTCTCGGAGGTGGACCCCATGAACTTCAGTAGGCCGGCCAAAGCACTCTGCTTCTTGAATGTCACAGCCCTTATTTTAGAACTTTCGGTACCAAACCTTCACAGTGTCATATGATATAGCATTAGTACCTAAAGCTATACACATGATTTAGTGACATTCTGTAGATGACTTCAGAACCAGAATTAATTGATGGTTCTAATCTGGTAGCGTAATAGTTCCATTTCAGACTTACTTAATGATACTTAATGATATTTTTTACAAATTTCACAACATAGTGTTCTTAACCAAGTCTTTTTCCTTCAAATGCCAAAAATCAATTGACAAAATATGATTAAACACGGCAACACAACTGTTCACGCAAATGATATTTGTGGTGGCGGGAAACTGTCATTACAATCCGACATTTATATGTTGTATAGAGGTCTTCCCCAAAAGTAATGGATATACAGTAAAGCCTAGCAGAATGCAGTTTTTCATGCATGCATTACCTTAATTAGCTCCATCTAATATGTCTAACATGAGAACTTCAGTTGTGCATGGTTTGTGTCGACCACATTGTGATAGTCCTCTTTTATCACTGGTTTGAAAATTCATTTGTTAAACTTTTTTCAAATATAACTTAGAACAGCTAATTTAAAGTTCTAATTCTCAATAATGCTCTAGGACACAGGGCTGAAGCCTACAGAACAGTGCGTCCAAATATAGAGGTTTTATTCCTTCTCCTCAATTCCACTACCTTAATCCAACTAGTGAATCAAGAAATCACTTCAAGCCTGTTATGTCAGATATATTTACAGCTCTACAAATAAAGCACTAGATGAAGGAAAGAACAACACATTAATGGCATTTTGGAAGCAGTTAAAAATAAGAGACTGAATAAATAATTAAACTTGCATGGAAACAAGTGAATTCATCAACAATGAATGCTTGCTAGTATCAGCAATGGCTAGAATTTGTCACAATTTTAAAGAATCTCCATTGACTGAAAAATGAATCTTAGGAAATGATACAAATTGCAAAAGCAATAAGTGGCAAAGGATTTTCAGATGTGGAAGAAGGATTAATCAAGAATAATGGTTGTGAAACGACAAATGAAGAATTGAATTGAATAATCAACCGAATAACACCAGCTGGTTGTGAAAGCACCAATAATGAAGAAAATTAAGAGCTTTTAATGTACAAGAGGTTAAACAAATTGTTAAAAAAAAGGTACAGGAACTGGCTGATTTTGTAATGGAGGTTTGATCCAAATGAAGAAAGAAGAGGGCACTTCATTAAAGGTGCTGCAAAATTTTGCATGCCTTGTCAGGAAATGTTTAATGAGTTGTGTTGGGCACTGTTCTAAACAAAAATCACCAGCTATTTAGAAATATAATTGTATCCTGTAACTGCTAATTAAATAGTAACAGAAATCCTTTCAGTTAAGATTTGTTACATTTTTCCCTTTTAATTACAATAATATTTAGGCTCATATAAATTATATATACCTTCTTAATCTGAAATAGAAGCTTTTATTTAAATACAGCTCAACACGCCTTGCACATTCTTGAACTATTTCTACATTCTTTTTTATAAAAACTTTAAAGAAAATATTATGAACAGCAATATATTTAACTGCAAAACCCTGATTAAAAAAAAATCCCATGCATATATAGTTTTCCTCTTTAGGAAATCTGATTTTTAAAGTTCTGAAATAAAAACTTATGAGGCGTACGCTCCAAATTTTTTTCCCTGAGGAGAGCAGATGTGTTTTTTAAGTTTTTCACATGTATAGTCTTTTATGACATTTTACTAGTAAATCTTTAAAAATTTTGATGTAGATGGTACCATTAAAATTCTATTTTTAAATACAAAAAATTAAGAATGTAATAAATGAAAGCGATAATTGTAATTAAGTTAATAACTTAATTAGTTTTAAATTATGTTAAGTTTAAATTCCTTCAAATTTTAGAGTGCATGCATAAGAATGTACAATACAGTGAATAGTATAAAATGATCTTGAGCAGCTTTGGTCCTTTTTTTTTTAACATACTTATCATAATTGATTTTTTAATCTGTCTATTGTTCACCTTTTTATTTTATTTGGTGAATCTGATTTAGGTGTTGTTGACTCTTAAAGTATTTTTTAATTTTTTAAACGAGGTCTTTCACAATAGCCATTCAGCAAATTAGATTATGTCTAACTTCTTATGAATGTAATTTGTTTTTAATGATCTTATTACAATAATAAAATGGCATAATAATGTGAGTATTAGCTAAATTGAATTTGCTCGTGTTTTAAAAGAAACCTGATTAGAATTTTTTTCTTTTGATTAGTTTTGATACTTCATTTATAAAATTCTAATAATAAAAAAATATTTTTAGAAAAGAGCTTTGAAATGGAAAAGTATTACAGTAATCATGACCTAAAAATGAATAAAACACAAAACCTTCTTTTTATGAAATAAAGTTGAGTGGTATTTGAGAAGTGCAATTAAATTCTACCAAAAATATCAAAGCAGTTCCTTTGCTGGTTAATAAAATTATGAGGGGAAAAGTAGTATTAAAATCTTTATATAGTCAACATACTAAAGTGAAAAAAAAAAAAAAAAAAAAAAAAGAGGGGAACTGATAAGTATGAGAAGGTTAAATATTCCAAGTTGATTTAAATAGTCTGCTAGACTATCTGTGAAGAATCAATGAATGTTTATATGTGGAAAGTAAAGACTATTTAACCCTTCAATCAGCACAGCCTTTCCAATCACTTTATTTCGCAGATACATCACATAAACTAAGTTCTTGAATGGGAAAATGAGTAAGGATAGGATAACAGTACTATAGTGTGTTACTTTAAAATAGGAACTTCAAGATTATTTTTTGCCACATGATTTAACTCAGAACAATGAGAACAACACCTGTGGGGAAAATGTCAACTTGCTTATATTGCAAAATAAATAATACATTTTTAATTTATCCCATATTCAATTCAGAACAAACCATACACATATTTTTTTTTAACCCACTTCATTTTTATTTAGCTTATTTTATCGTATAAAAAGCATGCGAATGGGGGCTGACTTGAACGACAGTCTCAGAAGATGTGAAGAAACTAAGTAGTGTACAGTGATGATGACACGAGTTTAGAATTTCAAATGGGAGAAAAGGGACAACCATAAAGTGCCAATTTTAAGGTAACAGACTGTAGTAGAGGCCACTTTGAATGATTCTAAAAAACTTAATCATTATTGGAAAATCGAGGGGGGGGAGGTTTTATGTATTTCGGGAGAGGTATATATATAATATGTATTGCAAACTAAAAAATAAAATTTTAATTGATCCTGTATTCAATTCAGAATAAACCATATGCAAAAACTAGAAGTATCACTGCATCTGCAAGGAAAAGGGGTGCAAAATGTGCCAAAACCAGAAAAAGAAATGAGAAATTTCTTTCGCTGCATCATGTTTGAAGGGTTGAGGCAACAAAAGAAGCAAAAATTAATAAATGCAATGTAAAAAGCAGTTCAAAACCTAATCCCATTGTGGAAAAATCAAACCATATAATCAGATATTAAAACTATGTGCTCAGATATGAGAACAGTGAAATGTCTTGTATATTTGGGGGGAAGGGAACATTTGAAGTTTTATATGCCTGGGTAATAATGAAAAATCAAAATCATGTAATCAGATATTAAAACTATGTACTCAAATATAAGAACAGTAAAATATCTTGTATATTTGAGGGGGGAGGAACACTTGAAGTTTTATATGCCTGGGTAGGAAAATTATTGTGTTTAATGATTACTGTCTTGAACATCTGATAACACCAAGTATTTGTTCACTTGCAGCAATTAGTTCGAAAGAACTGTGGAGCAGGTTCGTGGTCTTTGGATCAATATGTGCATCTTAGTTCTGATATAGTTGTTCTGTTGTGTAATTTTAAATGTTCTTTGTTGTAAACAATGTATTTTTTGGCTACATCTTTAAAAAAAAAATTAGTACTACATCAATAGCTATTTGTTTCATAGATTTCTTAAAAGTCAGTGTTTATGATGGGGGGGAATATATAGAGGGTGATAAATGTATGAAGAACAGAAAGATTTTGCATGATGGTGAGGGGGATAATCTGCAAAATTTTTTTATTATTATTATTTCAGTGGGAAAATTTGAATGTTTTATTGATATGGATGGGATGTTATGCCATGTTACTCCTAAAGCTGTTCTTAAACTCATTAGAAAAGTTAAATGATTTTTCTCTGCAACTACAATTGAGGCAAAAGATTACTGGGTAATCTACCCCCCTTCCTTGCATTTATTGAAATAAACGGTTTTATACATAAAAAAGAAGAATTTTTCCTGCCTGTTCTCTTGTATTAAATGTATTAATTAAAATTTTGTTCCTTTACAAGTTTTTAGCTAAGAAATTCTTTAATCGTGTGCCTCTTCAAAAGTTTCTTAATAAAGTTCTGCTGTTCTTTATTACTATACATTTGATTTATTATTATTTTATGCAGGTAAGTTCTTTGTTTTAGCTTCTGTCAGAAGAGAAGTGTAAGTGGATTCTTTGCACATTGTATTTATGCAGTACTAGAATATTAAAATAAATATTTTGAATGTAGAGATTTTTAAATGAGTGGAATTTTTATAAGAAAAGCAACTCTTTGATTATAAATATTTTTATTATAGGTTAGAAGGCCCTTTAATGCCTTTTATGACCCCAATTTCTAGTGCAATAACTCCACATTACTCTCCATCCAAAACTGTGGTGGAAGATGCTAAGTCATCCTTAGGTAATGCACATAAAATTATATCGCTATGCTTCAGAGATTAAAAGTGGAAAAGCTAAAAAGAAATATTTTCATCTGTGTGATGCTTTATTCTTATCTATATATTTGCATTACTCTTCGGCCAAAAAATAAATTGTTCTTTATTTCTCTTAAATATTACATTGTGAATGTAATGATATGTTTTAAGTCTTTGTAAATTGGGTCAAAACTTCAATAATAGTGTTAATTTTTGGTTAGGAATTAAACTTTAATGTTGCTGTTGTAATAAATATTAAATTCTGTTGTGGTGGCTTATCTCACTTGCCTGAATCAGAACAAGTCCACAAATTTTATCATGACAAAATCTGCAAGATTATATCTGTAACTGCCCTTGGGCATCATATAGGTAATTGTATAACATTGGCCTGCTGCATCCCATTTCTAAAGGAGAATCTTAAAGGGGATTGATTTGAGGGTTTCCCAATTCTCTTCTTCTGCAACCAACCATTTGAGAGGACTTTTGCCTTGCAAGTACTTTTATGGCCCCATGCAATGCAGACATTTACAAACATCTGTGCTTCCTCTGACATTCAAACCTGATCCCAACAAATGATATAGCAGCTTAGTCAAGGTGGCAGATATTAAATACTGTATAAATATTAGTTCCTAATATAAAATACGTTGAATGAAGTTGAAAATGTGTATGTTACAGTTTCATAAATTTGTAAAAAATTTTTATGCTTTTTATACACAGTAAGTGAAATTAATTTTTTAAGTTTATTTCATTTTGTGACCGAAACAAAAATTTTATTTATTTTTTTATGAACTATATATGTGTGTGTGTGTAAGATAAAAATATTCAAATCAAAGTTATAACTTAAACGGCCTCTTAACTGCTCATTTTTAATTTGGCTCTCTAGAAATAACTTTCTCAAAACCGCATAATATCTGAAAACTAATTTGGCATTATGTCATCTTAAACTTCTGCATTCCCTATAAGTTTTAGCCAATCAGATTAATGAAACATTTTACTATAAATAGTGTTGTAATCCAACAACCCTCCCTCTTTCTCTGCCTATGCTTGCTAGCTAAAGGGAATTTTTTGCTTGCTTCTATTAAGAATGTAATGCGTCATCATCAAAATTGTGGAGTGCAGATTGGGCCCATTGTGATGTGTCATGCCATAGGGCGATCAACAAGTAATAAAGAAATATTTGGATTGTCAAATGATTTTTGTGATTCTTCAAAAGTTCTCTGCATCTTCTACTACATAAGTGATATTTTCAGTGATGATCTAACCTCAATCCATTTGCGACTGCAAAATAATGTCTTCTCTGGTCAAGCACTCATCTCTCATCAAATTACTGCAAGGAACTAAATTTTATCACACACACACACACACATGTATATATAAAATTGAAAGTTACATCAGAATGTTTTTCCATTAGTTCCTTCAAATGTGCACCTTTAAATTGCTGTATAATTTTCTTTTTGGCCTATCTTATGGAGATTTGTTGCTGTTTTCTTATGCAAATCTTTACTGTTTTTTTTATAAATTGTCTTTAATAGCCAAGAAATAAATTCTCTTGACTGATCTTCATTAATTCAATGATGATTTTGATCAGTTTTCTAACAGCTTGATGAAAAAAAAATTCTGGTTCCTTGATGAATTTAAATGTAGCCATTTGCATGGCCTATGTTTTCTTTCTTGCACCTCTTTGCCAAAATTTTGATATCACCATGTTTGCACTTGTTTCAAAACTTGATAAATGATTGCTTGCTTTTGATATTTGATGATTTTTAAAAAGTTTAGATACTGCAATTTTTGTCCTTTTAGCTTGGCAGTCATAAAAGTGTACAAGTTCTGTTTTGATAGCTTTCATTGAATGAGGTGCCATTTTATAAACAAGTCTAGCTTTTAACCAAAATTACCATTATTTTGGAGAAAATGGAGTACTGTTGCCATGGCAACTTGAATAATTTCCATATTTATCTTTATTGGCTCACACTTAATCAATTTAATCAACAGACTTAGTTGTCTCATTCTTATACAGTATGCTCCGTAAATACACTAGATCATTTCTAGTGATATTAATAGCGTGTTATTACAGAATTCTTTCACCTGGCACTAATTATTGAATTTAGTACTACTTTGGTAGACGGTTGCACGGATTTTTGGCGATTTACTTTGCCGCAATTGTTGGCACGGTTTTTACAATCGTCAGCCATCTTGAAAAACACCGTTTTTACGTTATTTTCCGCATAATAAAGTATTCGAAACTTTAAAAAAATGAATATCGTTAAAGATAATGGATTAATTTTTTTGTTGAAAACATTGTTTTTTAAGATGGCAAGCAAATGTAAATAAATACATTTACTATGAGTATAAAAATACTAAAGTAAGGTTAAATTATTACTTTCATATAGCACGGAAATAGAATAAAAATACAGCTATAAAAACATTGAGCCAACATTTAATTCAATTAAAATATTACGTAAATTGAATATTGAATTAAAAACCATCATACCAACGTTTAAAAGAATTAAAATGTTACTTAAATTAAATACTTTAAAATAAGAACACTTCGTACACTAGAGCTAAAATGACAGCAATTAGTTTATTGTCGGTAAAAAAGGAAGAATGTCTAATGCTTTTCTTACCGTTACAGCAGTTATTTCTTCCAACATGACCACAATACCATATATGGCCGTCCTCAGAATCGTCTCTTATAAGAATCTTCATCTGCGATCTACATTTTCGCACTTCATTGAAGAAGCAATTATTGAGGTTTCCTCCAAAAATTTTTAATAAATTTCCTCTGACCCTTGTAAGAATTTATAAATAAATCTTTGATTAGGAAAGCCAGGCTGGCCAAAATAAGGTGTTAAAGGACAATTTTTTGATTCTGATACCAATAATTCTTGGTACTTATCAATAACAACGTTCATCTTTGAAAGAGACATCTTTGAAGGAATTTGAAGATATGAATTAAATTTTAACAAAATTAAATTTAAATTGTGCGGTAATCCAAAAATTTTCAGCAACCTATCAGGGAGCTGATTACAGCTCTTTAATGCACAAATATTCTATAACTAATCAGAGAGCTGATTACATCATGCCTAGAATTAAAATTATTTAAATAATCATACATAATAAAATCATTTTAAAAAAGAAATGCTAATTTATAGATATTAAAACCAATTACTTTTAAAGTGACATCATTGATTACATCATCCACAGCATAAAATTTCATAAAATATCATAAACAATAAAATTTTTATTTCAAATAAAAATGCAAAATTAAATTGATTTTTAATATTTAGAAGCCATAATAATATTTAAAACATGGAGTTTATGCATAATAAAAACGCCTTATTTTTTAAATAAAGAGACAACAAAGTATCATAAATAACTTATCCAGCAATGGGTTTACCATAAGTCATATTACTCGCCAAAACAAAAATCGCCAAAATCCGTGCAACTGTCTACCAAAGTAGCACCTTGAATTCAACTAGATTATTTAGTCTAGTATGGCTGTCACATTTAACTGTATTGTATTGTGCTATTTTTACTGAAAATGTAACTATGCATTACCCCATATTTGATTGTAAGTATGGTTTAGGATAAATTTTTTAATGTAATTCAGTCTTTTAAAATATCTAATTATAATTAATAATAAGCCATTGAATTTTAAAGTGTGACATAGCTTTGAAATGATATTTTGCATTAAGTGTTAATAAATATTTTATGAAATTTGTTTAAATTTTATTTAATGTTTTAACATTATTAAACTGTATAACTCTTATTTATACATAAAATATATGTATTCTATAATTATTTTTCAAATATTTTCAGATTTAGAAAATGATCCTGCTTCATGTGTGGAATCAAATGTAATTGAACCTCATAATGAAGATCATAGTACAAAAACTCTTTGTGCTAGCAATGGTATTCATGCATGTGATGAACTCCCACCATTATTGAATAAAGTGGAATGATGAAAGACTGAAAAATAGCATTTCTTTAAAAATGTGATATGGCACGGCAGATTCCATGTTTTCTTTTATATTGGTCAGGAATTATATGAATGATATTTTAGGGGAATGAGAGTATTTAGATCTATTTAGTTTGTTTCATCTTCATTTTGTGTGTGTGTATAATAATTCATCTACAAGAAACCATTTTTAAGTTGCTATTTGAAATAAAATAGAAGTTAAAACTTTCAGGAATGCCGGTTAAAACAATGTGTAATCTAGGTATAACTATATGTATGATAGATTTTTTTAAAAAACTCCATAATACAAAATAATGGCTTTATCAAATTCAAGCTAAATATAAGTTTTCTAACTGTTGAATTCAAAAAATGCAATGCATTTTTTGTAAAATGAATATTTTCCTTTTATCAGCTTAAAAGTTAATATTTAGTATGTAATTCAAATCAATATAATTAATACTGCTTTGCATTATTATAATGTAGAATTGAACATATTTAATTCTTTGTTTCAGAGATTAATGATCTTACCCTTTCAGCTGAAAGAACAAATAAGAAAGTGGTTCCTATATTTTCATTGTATAGTTTTTTAAAACTGACATATGGTCTAACCCCATATGAATTCTCATATCCTTCCTGTTTTTTCTTAATGAAACTCATATCAAAATGCACTTTTCCACAAAATAATAATTTAAAAAAATAATATTCCTTCAATTTTTTTTTTTTTTTTTTTTTTTTTTTTTTTTGTCTGACCTATTTTTATATTAGATAATTTATTATGCTTACTGACTTTTATATTTTCTGGAATTTATAAACAGCTATTAAAAAACAGGTAAAAGTACAGTACATTCAACATGAGGATTTAATCAGGCTAATGAGCAAAATTTACTTGTTGAGGTAATTACTGTTTTTATCATTCATTTGAATGCATTATTTTATTTTTATTGCACTTCCATAATTGAAATTAAGAAAGAGGAAGTTGGGAGTATTTTAAATTTATGGAGAATTAAATTTTAAAAGTTTTGCTTCACAATATACTTTATATTTATATTATTTTCTTAGAGATGCTTTGATTTTTGAAACCATATTTAACACTCCATCGAGCACAATATGTTTCAGAACACATTCGGGCGCTTTGAGCCTGAGAAGCACTTCTTGGTTTACTAAACTTTTGTATACCTAAAAAGTTTTTTTGGTACAAAAATTAAATAGTATCCATTATTATTAAACTTCCACAAGTTATAAAAATATTTAAGGGACAATAAAACAATTTTTATAGTCTTAATAGGAAACTATTTATATTAAACAAATTTTGATAAAATAACTTGTTGTACAAGTTGTTGTACAAGACCAATATAAAGTTGTTGTACAAGACCAATATAAAGTTGTTGTACAAGACCAATTATAAATCTAAATTTAATTAAAATTAGAACATAAGTATAATCTGTCATTCATCTGATTCATTAAGAGATATCTGTTCTTCTACTTCTCTGTTATAACATGGTGTTGTGTGACACATTTTCCACTCATATTAACTTAATCTTCTCTTACAAGTCTCTAAATAGCATGTTTCACATTTGCGTCTTTTTGGAGGTATCTGTAGCTAATCTTAATTTTGAGATTGTTCTTGGTTGGCATCGTATCTCTTTAATTTTCATTGCAGTTGTACTGGCATCCGAATAGCTTCGATGAGCAAGTTTCCCAAGCACAAGTTCCGCACACTTTATCTATATTATCTACTCCTAACTTGGTTTCATTGTAGAAACTGATTATTTCTAGTTTCTGTTTTTCACAGTAGAAAGATCAATAGCTTGGTCATCATGCAATGATGATACAAGAAGGATTTTTTTTTTTTCTTGGAATGTGGGACACCAAAACATTTCCGTCACTGCTGAAGCCAAAATTACTGTTAGTGTTGTGGTCTGGCTTTGTCCCAAATAGAAGTTGGGTATATCTTCCAATGCCATCTTCTTCGCTTCCCTCTTGTTCTGTCTCTGATCCCACTTCACGTTCCTCTACACCATCTTCTGAAATAATAATTCTGAAAGTCATCATCAATATAGCTTTCGACATCAAAATCATCATCTTTTGACATCTTCATCTGATACCTCCAATAAACGGTGAATTTCTTCAAGATCTTGAAGGTTTCTCAAATCAAAAAAAAAAAAAAATTGACATTTTGAAGCTTGAATCAAACAAATATTTTTGCTGTTGTTATGGAAATGTCTTTGTCAATTTCTGTAATAAGCAGTAATTTAAATTATGAAAACATTTTTAAATTCATGACATAATCGGCAATGTGCTTGAAAAGCCAGATGTCAATTTTTGTAAAAAGCAGTAATTTAAATTATTATAACATTTTTAAATTCATGACATGATCGGCAACGTGCTTGAAAAGCCAGAGCCCAAAAACATACTCAATTTTGTAGATAATAATAAAATATTTTATTATACAAAATTGCTATCCCAAAAAAATGTGATACAGTATTGAAAAATTGTAGAAAACTTGTCATGTAATCGGGCACAATGAGCCTATTAGATAATTTAATCTGTCAATTGGAAATAAAGAAATATATTCACTGGCTGACCTTACAACTGCTAGTGGCACTAGAAGAGGGGAAGGTAACTGGACGAGAAGGAGTGATGGTGTTTGAAGTAGGCAGGGGAAGAAAAAGTGCTTGAGGTGTGTCTAGCAGATCAAATGTGCTTGACGGTGTGTTCAAATATTTTATAAATTAACTACTTTTTAATTTTTCCGACTGAGGGTTTCTGTAACTAATAGCAAAGTTTCCTTTTCTCTTTGACTGATAGATACAAAAAGCAGTTTACTTTGATTATTTAAAACCAGTGTAAAATGTACAAAAATAACACTATTAGAAAATATGGAAGTGATATTGCAGTGTTATTTAAAAGAGTGGAGTATCGTTTATTTAAAAGACATGCAGACCATTTAAACAATTAAAATTTCTAATCAGTTGTTTAGATAGTCTACAGAAATTCAATTTTTTCTTCATAATGGTCGCTGCATGTTTCAGATCCATTTATTCAATTCAGTTATTATATTTTTTTAGTTAATTTACTTGGTTGTTCATGTTCAGTAATTAGCAAGAACAAAGTTTCAATTCTATAATGAACTGATATAACTCTATAATGAATGTTGAAGAAAATGATAATTTGCTCAATATGGTACTGCTGATATAAAATGTATCTTGGTTTGATTTTGGCCATCAAAAAAGGATATTGGTTGAACACAAGCATATTTCAGAAATATTATGGCTACATCTCCAAGTCTGTGTAATAAAGCAAATTCTATGAATCTTTTCAGTTTCTTATGCTTTTAAAAGTTATACTATATTTATGTTGTACTAACTGTATCAGGTGTAAAAATCAATTCATCTATCTTTAGTAAAAAATGTGTAACTTAAAGTTGCTAATCATTATGTAAGCCTTTAATGCATTTTTGTTGATGGAAAGTACTATATCAGTTGTTAACTCCTGCTAGCATTGTCTTTAAACTAATACAGTAGTGTATCTTAGTTTATTAGAGGTTTTCTCTATACCATGTGATGCTATTTGATAGTGCTTTAAAGAAATTTTACCCTCAGTAAAAATATTCTTTTAAAATTAGCTGGTACCAATCCTCTCAAACCATACCAAATTCATCAGTGTAATATTCAAATTATATAGCCATTAGGCTCTATGAATATAGGCTAATATGAAGAATATGTTGCTATTGAATACACATATAGATCAACTGTAAATGTACGAAATTTTTTAATAATATATTTCGGGAAGAGAAATGAGAAGGATAATTTTAAGTATTTAGCTGATGTACACTAAAAGCTCAGCTGTATAGCTTTTAACTAATCAAAATATTTTTAATTTTTAGGAATTAAAAATTTTTAGGAAAAAAAAATTAATTGAATGATAAACTTTCGTATACATAAAGCATATACAGTCAAAAGTCGTTAATTCGGACACCCATAATCCGGACCTCAAAGCTAAAAACTTTCTGCGCATGCGCATTGGCGTTTACGCGTGCGCGTAAGACCTTTACGCGCATATGCGTGTGCGCAAGTGCAGAATACGTTTTCGCGTGCGTGTTTAACGTATAACGGACGGGTATATGCTAAAATTATACAATTATCTATTTCAGTTAATGTTGATGCTTGCATTATTCCTTAATCTTCGAATTGGATGCAGCTTATTATTTTTTGCAGACTGTAAGAGCAATTTTATAAAAGTAAACTTGAACTTTCGATTATGTCAATTTCCGATTCTGGAGCTCCCAAAGGATCTACAAAACGAAGTATGTCTCGATGTCCGTCAAACAAAAAGTGGAATTGCTGCAAAAAATGGATAAAGACATGAAGAAGGACAGAGAGTTGACAGAGAGGTTAGTGAAAACGAAAAAATTTCGATTGACAAGTTAGTCGGTATTCTCGGCACAGCAATTACAGGACTTGAACAGCGGAGCTTTTTAACTGAACAAGAAATTATGTCTGTTTATAGAATTAAAGAGAAAGTATTATCACATAAAACGAAACAACTTTCATTGAAAGAAATGTTTAATAAAGTAAACAAATAAATATTAAGCTTCTTTTTTTTTTGTAAATTTTGATACCCTTTAGCTCATAATTGTTCTTTATTTCCTAAAATACGGTTTCATATTTTTAATTTTAGAATTTGTGCATGCCATCTTACGAGATTTAAACTGATGATCTATAATCCGGAATCGCCGAAGTCCCGACGAGTCCGGATTAACGACTTTTGACTGTACATGACTACAACTCAAACAAACAATACCTGTCACTTGACAGAGCAATTTAGCATCATATTGTATAAGAATGATGTCTTAAAACAGCCATAAGATCTTCACTTCATTTTTTTATAAAGAGGTGTAAGTTTTGTATATCTGTTTTTTCCTTTGTATTTTGAAAAATATTAAAATTTGAGACCTTCCCTAAACAGAATAGCATACAGTGGAGTATTTAGAAAATTAAGGGATCCTGTCATTGAGAA